GATTTTATGTAAGCCGCCCTGAGTCCCCTCAGGGAAAAGGGCGGCCTATAAATGTTAATAAATCTCTAAATCTCTAAATCTCTATACTTGAAGGATGCAAACTAGAGTAAATCAATTAATGTATGCATCTTGGTGGAATATTTACTAAAGACGTGGAAATTGTCTGACATTGAAATGCTGGTAGAAGAGAAGGGACAGTATGTGACATATTGCCAAGAGCGAAAAGTGAAAATAGCTGCCTATAAGACAGTGTTTCCACCCTGTTTATTATGTGCACATGAGACTTGGGTATGCCAGGAGAAACATAAAATTGAACACAGTGGGAATGGATTGCCTAAGAAATGTTAATGGTAAAATGAGGGGTCCTTGGTGCTCTCTGAGTTTTCTTGCAGACATTTCATTACCCTAACTAGGTCACATCATCAATGCTAGTAAAGAGTGCTGTTTGCTGTCAGTTTATATTCTGGCAGCAAACAGCACTCCTTACGACTGTGTTTCCCCCCAAATAAGACATGGCCTTATTTTCTTTTGACCCCTGAAATAAGCACTTGACCTTATTTTCGGGGAGGTCTTATAATTTTTGAGGTGCAGGAGGCGGCGAGCCTCATGGCTGCTGCTGTATTGCAATATTTTTGGGGATGGCTTATTTTCGGGGGAGGGCTTATTTTAGTGCATGTGCTCAAAAGCCCAATTGGGTTTATTATCCAGGGAGGTCTTGTTTTCAGGGAAACAGGTGATGATGTCACCTAGTTAGGGTAATGAAACATCTGCAAGAAAACAAGCAAGCTCAGAGAGCATCAAGGACCCCTCATGTCAACCCTGAACTGCAAATATTCTCCTTTATTAATGGTAAAACACAAAGCGATAGCATCAAGAATGAACCGGACCTGAATGAATGTGGATTTCTCTGCACCTCCAGGTCAGGATTCAGGTGGAAGGTGAAGGGAAGGTTTTCTTTCTACCTGAGAATACATACAGGTGCTGCTAGTACGGGGAATTCTTTACTGACAACCATTTGTTCAGTGACCGTTTGAAATTATAACGGCACTGAAAAAAATGACATTTGGCTGTTTTCCACACATACGACTGTTGCAGCATCCCCATGGCCACGTTCTCAAAATCCCAACACTTGGCAACTGACATGTACTTGCGACGGTGCCAATGTCCCAAGATCATGTGATCATCTTTTGTGACCTCTGACCAGCAAAGTCAACGGGGGAAGCCAGAATCACTGAACAACTGTGCTACTAACTAATTTTAGAACCACAAAAGGTCATCTGTGGCAAAAGGTCGTAAAATGGGACGGAACTTTCTTAACAACTCTCTTGCACAGCAATGGAAATTTGGGGCTCAATTATGGTCATATCCCGAGGACTACCTGTGGTAGGTACAGCTGGACTAGTCTGGCCGGATAGTCTGCCTCTATGTGAAGCAGCTGGTAAAGAATGAGTTATGGCAGAAATGGGGAGCTCTAGGAAATCTCTTGTTATCTTTCCTTTGAGGCTGCAGGGAAGATTTCTTCCGTCCCTCTCTTTGATTGTATCACTTTTCTTACTAACTTTCTGAATTAAATTTTTCCACTTGGTTTTTTTTGGGGGGGGAGGGGTGTTGGTTCATGGTCACTTGTTTGATATTTAGAGAGATAATGTCTTAGTTAATTTGGCCTTAATCTTCAATGTGGTGTTCATTAGTGCTCATATTGCCCGGGGCAGAGAAATAACATTTCAGCGAAACGTTTTCCAGATAGCTCATTGCTTCTTCTTTAAAATTAAATTAAATTAAAGAAAGGTAGGGTCTTTGCAGAATGTGCGAGAGAACAATTAAAGTAAAAGGAGAATCTATGAATATGGGAGGAGTACGGGTCAAGCATAAACTCTAAATAAACTCTTTAGCTTTAAGATGTCCACGGGAAACTTATTTTATGGTTGTACATCCATGCAAGTATGCAGAGGAGATGAACACAAGCAATGAAAAGTCTGTGGCTCAATGGCTGGTATTCAGCAAGTTCTGCACAGTTCTGGAGAACCATTAGCGGAAAGTTTGTGTAGTTCAGAGAACCTGTAAATACCACCTCTGACTGGCCCCGCCCTCATCTATTCTCTGCCTCCCGAGTCCCAGCTGATTTAGAGGGAATGGAGATTTTATAGTATCCTTCCCCTGCCACGCCCACCAAG